GGATCAAACTGTTTAAAACACATGCTCAAAGTAAGCCGGATTTTGCTGATGTGTTTATGTGGACAATGACTATGTTTTAAAAATGCGCTTATCCAGAAAAGCCTGGTTTGGACACTTTACGGGCAGAAGAAACATTTCTAGAAAAAATTATGCATTCCTGTCTTTTTATGCCTTTATTAGATACTAACTTGAATTGTTATTCAAATTAATTAATCAATCATTTTTTATATTTTATTGTAATGTATAGACAAGGCTTTTAGTGACAATCATGTATTGCGTTACAATTATGTGTAAAAAGAAAATAATTCATATTTGGCCTCAAATCATCTGAGGCCCCCCAGGTTGGGAACCACTGGTCTAGAGCACCAACTTGCTGGTTGCGTGGAGACCAAATACAAATAGTCCAGTTCTCCTTTTGTGAAAGTAATACCCTTAACAATCATTTTTCATAAGCACAGGGACCAATGTGAAACTAAAGTGACACATTTGAGTGAGTTTTATGAGATCTCAAAACTCTGTGGAACCACTCAAAGAGTCAGAGGAAGGTCTTGAGGGTTTGTTTCTTTCCGCTTTCCACAGAAAAGCCATACATCGTGAAGCACCCGGAGGACAAAGCGCGTTATGAGGGAGGACGGGTGATGTTGTGCTGCAAGGCAACGGGATCACCAGCACCTGACAAATACTACTGGTGAGATACATGATAGATGAAGCACAGAACTAGCTAGCTACAGAGTGATCACTTTTGCATATTTGTAAGTCTATATTTTGGAGGTCCCTTAAAATGTCTACTAAAGGAGCATTAATCAGTAACTTCTCAGATGTTTTGGACTTTAACCGGTTATGAGTCTATGTCTTGTCAGCTGCTTAATATGTTCATAAGTTAGCAACTTAATACCCTCTGCTGTTTGGTATGGGCCTGTAGCGTGCAACGTTTTTTATCTGTGGCTGAAAACATCTGCCTTTTCTATCAGAAAAAGCTAATAAAGACCTTGAGACATGACAAAAAAAAATCTAGTCCCTGACTAGAAAACCAAAACAATGAGCTGAAAGACACTAAATAAAGGCTAAAGGGAACTGCAGAGTCAGGTGAAGTTGTCCCAAGTTATTTGATCTATTTATAATATAATTATCAATCATTACGAACAAACATCTTTTTAAAAAGAAATGGAAACAATTGTATTTTTCTTGTCTCTGTAACTATTCTCCAAGGTTCCACAATGGGACTCTGCTGGACAGGAAGGTGTACAAGTATGACGAGGACCTCGTTCTGTGGGACCTAAAGCCAGAGCAGTCCGGGCTGTACTACTGCAAGACCAGCAGCTCTGCAGGCAGCATCAAGTCCTCTGCAGCCCTCCTCACTGTGATGGGTATATATGCTTATTCTTGGATCTCTTACTGAAAGCAATTGAGCACATCCATCTGTAGACCAGTTCTAACCACACCAATCTGCTGGTTTGAGGTCAGTTTAATGACATATATTAGCGCATGAAATGCTAAAAAGTTGTGGAGAAAAATGAAAATAAACATTTATTCACACAGAAAAAAAAACATAAACGGCAAAGTAATGTAATGTAAACCATAATTCATCATCATCAGCCTGGACTAAAAATAATCGACTATGATGATAGCGATACACAGGGATTATAGCTAAGCATGGCTGCGGTCCCAGTGCATTTGACAATGACGTTTTAAGTCAAAGTTCGACACAGTTTCAAGTGAAACCACTGACAGAAAGCAAACAACCACAATTTATTTTTAGTGGATAAAAAGCAGCTGCCTCTGGGCTTGAATTCACATTTTAAGAGGAATGTCAGCACTGAACTCCAACCAAGACATTATTGAGCCATGACCATGCATAAAGAGGATTCAAACAAAACCCCTGTGTCTTACAACTAATGGAGGGTTTGTTAATAGACTGCCTTTCTTCTGAGAAAATAAATCATTAAATTCTAAGAAAACAGGAAAATTCAAATATCAGAGCTTGCGCGAATTGGCGGCGCTTATAGCAGTTCATTTGTATTATGTTGATTTTGGTTAAAGCAGTGGCTTCGTCAACTGCAAAGCTTTATTGTATGAGATGGATCTGTACACTGGAAAACCTCACTCCCAATATCTTCAGAACTTGAGAGATGTAACTCAAGATTGTCTATAAATCCAGTTTTTTCTCTCTTTCAGATTCAGACAAGTAAGTGATTCCAGATCCTTGTGGGAAAGCAACCCATTGCTTATATATCTAAGGCACTTTTAGCTTTTTATGAAAGAGTGCAAAAGTAATCTATGAAAGTCCACAGACCAATCCCTGCACTCCAAAAGCCATTATGGCAAGAGACGATATATGTGTGCAGGGTAACACCTGCTCCTCAGAGCAGGATGACTCTTATTCCTTTAACACAGTGTGGTTTCTTCTTACATTTTATATTATTCAGAAGTTGAATTAGATTTCCCATAAAATGTGATAACCACAGTTCTAGAGTAGAAGTTACATAATCTTTCATCGAAGAAAACTCTCAGTCCTGTTGGTAAAGCCATTAGCAGCACAGTAATAATATTTAAAACGCATCACACTGCTCCATGTGTCTGCAATTATCGACTTACTTGGGAGATTTGGAGGTTAAAAAGGAAACTTGACTTGAAGTTCCACCATTATATCATGCACATTTAGTATTCTGTCAATGTTTGGCTGAACAAGAAATATTTCTTTCCATCTCCTATCTGGATGGTTGGTAAATACATTTCCTCATCATGTCGTATTACTCTTTCGTAGACATTTAACTGTCCAACTTGGCCAATCACAGAAACTCTGCGCCAGGCCATTTAGACATGGTGTGTGTGTTACAATAAATTATGCATGTTTTTTTTATCAATTTGTGAAACAGGAAGACAGGAATAATATATATTAAAAACCAAATTGGAAAGTTTGAATTTATTCACTTCCGCTCATTTAGTTATTTTTTCAAATAATAAAAACGGATACGACAAGAGAAAGGATAACTCTAACGGTTACGCTTTTTATGTTTTACAATTTATCTTTTATATTTCTCATGTCAACACCAGCTAATGCAATTTATTTTCCTTTTCTCAGCAAAAGGAAAGCCAGCATGCAATTCTACCCCTGAGAGGCACCTCATCAGACTGCCGATGGACTGTGTTCAACCGGGGACAGACTCCATGCACTTCAACGCTGGCCGTTGCCCTCATAACAAATGTGCTGGCTCCCTGGACTTTGATATGCGCTGCAAAGATGGAACTGGTTTCTGCTGCGGAGTCCAAAATATGGAAAGTCGAATCATTGACTGTGGGAGCTACAGCCTCCCAATCCGGGCTGTGACACAATGCGGCTGTCAGAAATGTTTGCAGCCTACTGTAATAGTCCGTGGCAGAGTGGTCACAGCTGATAATGATGAGCCTCTGCGTTTCGGGCACATCTACATTGGTAAAGAGAGGTTGGGCACCACTGGATTCCAAGGAGGGT